TCCCAAAAATAAATAAACGTTGGAAAAAAAAATTTTTTTAAAAATAATAAAAAATAAAAGCATACTAAAAAGTATAAAACTTTTAAATAAAGAGACTGAGAAAATGGAATGATAAAAAATAGTCAATCCAGGGGCACCTGGGTGGCGCAGTCGGTTAAGCGTCCGACTTCAGCCAGGTCACGATCTCGCGGTCCGTGAGTTCGAGCCCCGCGTCAGGCTCTGGGCTGATGGCTCAGAGCCTGGAGCCTGCTTCCGATTCTGTGTCTCCCTCTCTCTCTGCCCCTCCCCCGTTCATGCTCTGTCTCTCTCTGTCCCCAAAATAAATAAACGTTGAAAAAAAAAAATTAAAAAAAAAAAAGTCAATCCAAAAGAAGGCAAGAAAAGAGAGGAAAAGAGCATGGAGTGAGTGGGACAAATAGCATATTGTAAGATAGTAGATGTAAAGTCAAATATATTGTAATTATATTCAATAAAGGTAGACTACTTCAGTTAAAAGACAAAGATTTTCTGGCTTGATTACAAATTGAAGTCAAATTATATTCTGTTTTCAAGGCACAAATTAAAGCATAAGAATAAACACAGTTTGAAAATAAAAGAGTGGAACCCATTAAACTCTGTAAACAGTGGCCAAAGGAAAGCTGGTAAATCTGTATTAATATCGGACAAACTTGAACTTAAAGCAAGTTAAAAAGAAAAAAAAAGAAAAAAAAGGAAAGAAAAAGAATTACTGGAGATTAAGAGTTACTTCTTACTGATTAGGGATTCAACCCATCAAGAATATAAAATAACTTAGCATTTATAAGCATCTAATTATATGGCTTTAAATATTTGAAAAAAAAAGTGACGAGAAGAACTCGATGGAGGTTTGGGTAAATCCACAGTCATACTGGAATTTTGTAACAGGTCTCTCTCAGAACTGATAGATCAAGCAGACAAAAAATCTATAAGTCTAGGAGAAATTTCAAAACCATGGTTAAAAACCTGACACACCAAAAGAGGTGAAAGAATATACCTAGTTTCAAGTATATATCGAATTACAAAAACTCAGCCCATGGGAGGCCACAAAGCAAGAATCAACTTCAAAAGGTGAGAATTACAGAGGGTGTAATGTGACCACAGTTCAAAAGCAAAAAGGTCACTAGAAGATCACCATATGTTTAAAAATTAAGAAAAATATCTAATAATCCACAAGTAAAAAAGAACCTCATCCAAAATACGTTTTTTAAAAAACATATTTTTCAAACACATGTGGGATGTAGGGAAAGCAATGCTTGAAGAGAAATGTTCACCTTAGAATGTTGTACTAGGAAAAGATACAGCCTGAAAAGCATTCCAGGAACTAAGTGTTTGTCTCCAGAAATTAGAAAGAGAAAAACAAAACAAATGCAAAGAGAGGAGAAGAAAGAAAACAATAAAAACAAGGGCAGAAAATGCTGAAATAAAAGCCAGGCAGAAGAGCCCAAACCAAAAGTTGTGTTTTTCGAAAAGATGAGTAAAATTGATAAACCATGGGCAAGGCTGAGCAATTCAAAATGGAAAGAAGTCACAAAGGGCTGCTACTGGAGATGATGAGAAAGGTGGCATGGAGGCCAAGGTTTAAAGACTAAGAGGGAAGTGATGAAGGGGAAGGGGCATGCCAGGCAGTGAGGAGAGGCTGGACCAATGGCAGTAGCTGAGGCCACCGCTGCTTTTGGTGAGGAGCACCGGGAGAGAGGGTGGCCTTCCGGAAGGGCAGGATCAGGGGCAGGCCTGGCCAGGAGGGTGTTGACTGGGCAGGGTACACTGGGAGCTATGGGGAGCCACTGGAGGATTTTAAGGCAGGGGAGAAGTGACACAACAGATTTTCCCTGTAGGGTGATGGTTGGCAGCAACCTGGGGCACGATCAGGAGATAGGGTGGAGTGTGGGGGGGGGGGGGAGTGCAAGGTGGGCGGGGAGTCCAGGCAGAAAAGATGAAGGCCTGGACCAATGGAGCAGGAGGAGCAGGGGAGGGTGCAAGGGGTGGGGTGAGACTTGGGTTAACAGCTTCCAAGCTGAGGACAGAGGAAACACTATTTAAGGGGTGAAGGGCTAATCATGAATCTACAAGTGGGGTGGAGTGGAAGAGAAACAACTTCCAAAAAGAAGGGCATTGCACATCATGTGCACCCTACTGGCCATCAGGACATCACTGGTAGTGGTAGGAGACTTCAGAGAAGAGTCTCGTTTCTGTGGATCCTGAGTAAGTGGAGCCCGATGCGTGGAGCAGGGGAAGTGTGGCCGGGAGCTTGTTGAGCCATGATGGCAAGGAGAGAGCACAGTGCCTGAAGGCAGTGCGAGCTCACGGAGTTTTTAAAAGATGGGAGACGTGAGCTTTCCTTCTTCCACTCCCTGTAGTCTCCACCTGAAACATTGAAATCAATGACTCACATTCTATGACAAAGATTTTCCAGCTATCGATCCAGGCTTTCCATCTCCTCCCTCTTCTTACATATTAATGGGGAAATGTTTTTGAACCTACCCTCACAATTATTCTTTGTGTGCATGTCTGGTTACTTTATTTACCACATAAGAAGATGGGGAGACCAACGCTTTTAAGAATTTCAAAAGGCAGAGAGATCAATTTAAAGGATCACCAGAGGTGTTTCTGCCAAGGGAGTCTATGAAATGTTTAAGTCAGAAATGGCCAGTTTACATGTCAGACTGGTATTTCTCAATCCCATTTCCTCCCTGTAACATATTGTAATTGAAAGATACCCAAACAGATGTTTTCTGTTATATGGATTCAGTTCCAAAGTTTTCTTCATATGCTGCTCACAGACAAATAATCCCTAAGGACCAAGAGGAGCCAATAATCTTCATTTTTGTTATTGCATATGAAAATATTTCAGGTTGTGTGGTTAGATTAAATTTGTTTCTGAACAGCATTATTATTAAAAATGGATCCTCTCGGGGCGCCTGGGTGGCGCAGTCGGTTAAGCGTCCGACTTCAGCCAGGTCACGATCTCGCGGTCCGTGAGTTCGAGCCCCGCATCGGGCTCTGGGCTGATGGCTCAGAGCCTGGAGCCTGTTTCCGATTCTGTGTCTCCCTCTCTCTCTGCTCCTCCCCCGTTCATGCTCTGTCTCTCTCTGTCCCAAAAATAAATAAACGTTGAAAAAAAAATTAAAAAAAAAAATGGATCCTCTCACCTTCCTGTGCACATTTTAACAATTAATTCTTTTGCCTTGTGGTGAAAATTCTAATCATTCCTTTTGTGGTCGTCAAATTATTTATTCATTTGCTGTGGCACTGAGATTCTCTTTTCCTCAACCAAATTATATCCCACTGACCCATGGAGTTCCTCACAAGAGATGCTCAGATTGCCCAAGTGTGTGTTCAGGCGCACCTATTAACACAACAAGCCTTGTGTTTTCTTGTTGGACCGATGTTCCAAAAATGAAATATTTAGAATGGAAATAGTGGAAACATTGTTTTCACAAAGAGGGTTAGAAAAACCACTGTCTAACTAGACTCTATCAATATTGCTTTACATCTTAAATTGCTATATCTCAAAGTCATTCTAAGGTCAGAGCTTACCATGAACAATGGCTTGGAAAATAAGAATAGCCTTCTCTGGGGGTCCTGAACGCTGACTCAAAGGATGGGAAGGAGACAGCACTGGCCATGGGGGAGGTACTGAGCAGCTCATTTGCAGTATAAACTTCCTGGGGTCTGGACCCCAGAGTGTTATCCAATAATGTCCTTTGTTATCGCCATGGTTTTTCTGCTCATCAGTAAATGAGGGCAGGAGAGATGGAGAGATGGCTGTCAAGGTGCCTTCTAGGGTTAACATTGGTGACATTAACTGTAACTCAGGCGTCTGGCTGAGAAGTTGGAGTTCCTTGCTCCTAAATACAGAGATTTCCCGTACTTTTTGCTGCTGGTGGAAGATAGGGCCAGATTTTTCTGGCTGAGTGGACAGGGCTCACATAACCACAAACACCATGACTGAATCTGGGAAGGAAAGGCCAGGTGTGGTGCCCAGAGGGCACCTGCAGGGTATTGAAATCCAGACTTCATTATTTGTCCATGCCTGTGTTCATTCCCTCAGCAAATGATTATGGAGTCCCTTCAAAGTGGTGGGCATTGTACTAGGCACTAGGTAGACTATGGTGGACAATATAGACATCATCTCTAGCCACTTAAAGCTTCCAATGCTATTGGGAGGTGTTGAGTAGGCAGATGAGCTATGTCATTGAATGTTGTCATAAATTCCATGAAAGACAGGCATAAAATCCTATGGGACAGAATAGCAAAGGGACCATTGGTAATGGCGGGGGCCATTAGAGGTTAGAAGGGTGAGAGGTCAGTGAAGGCCTCTCTAGACAAATGCATTTGTCAGTTTGACAAGAGGAGAAAGAAGGGACAATAGCCCAGCAGGAGGGTAGCATGTGTGAGGCTGAGAGGGGAGAAAGGCCATGATAGGATGTGAGAACCAAAGAAAGTTCATGTGATGGGTGAGAGAGGGAGGCTGGGGAAAGAGACAGCTGGTGGTGGTGGCTGGGGGCCCAAGAAAAAGCTCTTCTTTAAACCAAGGACAGTGGAATCTAGAGGGTGGTCTTAAGCAGGAGAGTGACATAATTCCACTTGTATTTAAAAAATATAATTCAGGCAGCTTGGAGAGAGGACCAGGACTTGTTCAGCATAGTGGGATGCAGGAAACAACATGAAACAGGGCAGGGTGGGGGGTGAAACTGCCCCGTCAGAGGGCTAAAGACCACCATCTACAGGGGCCTTGGCTCCCTGTCTCCACTGTATTCCTCCCTCCATAATGCCATTCTGCTCTTGAGAAGAGGGAGCACCTCATGGAATACAATGAAGACTTTGGGCAAATGATTTCTCCAAGAATTGTTTTTCTTCACTCCAATGGTGGGTGAAGGAATGAACTCACTGAGCAAATGCAAACAGAAAATGTAAATTGGCGCCTTCTCATGCCTCCAAATACCAAATTGCGTTGACTTCCTCATTTGTGCTCCAGCTGCGTGTGAGGTGAGTCCGGAACACAGCAGGGGCTGTAGGCCAAGGATGGTCCCACATGCGGAGAGGGACATGCTGGTCATCAGGGACCACGGGACACATGTACTTGAATGCAAACAAGACCCTGACCTCAGAGATTTGTGTCTGGTGCTCTCACACACGCCTGATAGTCTCCAGGACTGAGTGATGGGGATTTGGACATCAAAGCCTCTTGGTGAGTAGAAAGAAAGAGTATCTTTCCTGTCAACAGCATTCAACATTCCAATAGCAAGGTGCGGAATGCTGTGGGGTCAGGTTTCCCTGGATCATGTGTGTCTCAGAAGGGCCATGCACTGGCCAACCTAGGAGTCCATTTACCCTGCTTGTTTAAAAAGAAATGGGAAAACCATTTGATGAAAACCCAATTTTCCTTAGCGAAAGAAGAGAAGGAAAAAGCTGATCCAATATCCTTGATGTGGGAAGGAAAGATAGATTGCTCAAGCCTGTGATAGAGTGAGCCCTTTGTGAAGTGGAAATGAATCAGATCTTACTGGTCTAACAGGACGGGAAACACCTAGATATTCTTTGGCACCATTTAAAAAGCACGTCAACATGAAAATCCCCAGGTAGCAATATAGCTAGAATATTCTGTCATGTGCACAGTCAAGGTACATGTGGGATCAGCAAGGTGAAGAGTCTTCTTTCAGTTTTGTGTCCCAGAGCTGAAGCAAGTTATCGAAACGTTGAATACTGAGAACAGCTTAAAGGAATTCTTATCCTGTTTTTGTGCAAGCCCGTGGAGAAATCCTTCCTTTCAGTCCTCCTGTGAGTGAAGATGTGGTTTAGAGGATGCCAGGAGCAAAAGAACTATCTGAAAGAGCTTCCCACCCTGCAGGCTCCTGAGATTTGGGCTCCATTGCAGTAGGGGTGACTTTATTTGTTGAGGATTGGAGCTCATCTTGGGGAGCCCATTTCTTCATTGGCTACCACCTCCTCCTTTTCTGAACTGCTTCCCCTCTGACCACTGTGAGTGTTTTCCACAGGTTGCCTCCCCCCCTTGGCCCCCCCCCCCCCCCATCATAAGTCCCTGGGCCAGCACCAAAGCCATTACCCTGGTGGAACACTTCCAATGGGGCACCCTTTCCTCTACTGCAGCAGAAACTCACCAGCATTGCACCCCTTCCTGCAGTGCTCACTCCATGCGAGTTGCCACTGGCTCAACAGAACTCTAAGCCAGGCTGCTGGGCACTGGAGCCAACAAGCATCTCATTGAGGTCAGCGAAGAACAAAACTCTACTTGTTTTCAGAGCTGTCTTGATTTTAAAATTTGCCTTTAGGGGCGCCTGGGTGGCTCAGTCGGTTAAGCGGCCGACTTCGGCCCAGGTCATGATCTTGCGGTCCGTGAGTTTGAGCCCCGCGTCGGGCTCTGTGCTGACAGCTCAGAGCCTGGAGCCTGTTTCAGATTCTGTGTCTCCCTCTCTCTGGCCCTCCCCCATTCATGCTTTGTCTCTCTCTGTCTCAAAAATAAATAAACGCTAAAAAAAATTCTTTTTTTAAATAAAATTTGCCTTTAAAAAGCAACCAGACAGAATTCATTCTTTTCAAAGCAGGCTCCTGTTCTGGAGGAGACATGCCAAATGGTCTTTGAGCAGACATGGGAACAGTGGAATGCAAAGCTGAGGCTGTTGTGTAGACCTATTATACTACTTTGGGTGAGTTGATGGGTTTGGCAGCAGGATCCTGGCCCAGTCCTTCCCAAGGACGGAGTCAAGGCTAGGATGAGGCTCTTCCTCTGTCTGTTTCTAGGCCACATCCTACCTCCAGCGTCCTGTGGTTCCTTGTCCATGTTCCATGAAAGTGATACATGCTCTGGGCCAACACCAGAATAAAGGAGGTGTTTAAACAGGAAGTATTTGCTCATTCTCTTTTCCCCATATCTAAATCATATTCTTCTTTTGAGCCTCAGTGAACACTGCACCTCCTCCATGAGCTTTCCATGAACTCTGCTTCCTCTCCTCTGTCTTATTCAAGCCAGGAACTTTTTCATTCAGAAACTGCTCTCCATTGCTGGCTGTGCTAGATTGTTCCAGGCCAACTTGGTCAAGCTGGGAGCTACGGTTCCTTGAATTCCCTTTCCTGGGTTAGATTTGGCCAAAGGAGATTTGCATGAGATATGGAAGGCAGGCGTGAAGCAATGGCCATTATTCTTAGAAGTTCACTGTGGTCCTTTCTGGCTTTCTATGTGAAGATCCACCATCATTCCTTAGGGCTCTGTGACAGAAACATGGCCGGCAAAGTGATAATTGAGTCCATTTGCTTTTTCTCTTTCTACCCAGCTGACCATCTTTCAGAGGCGGCCTTTTTTCAGATGAGAGACCAGGAAGGGAGACTCTGGGGAAACTAATATCTGATAGTGCCCAAGACTCTTGTTTCATGGATGGGTAGTCAGAAATGTTGACTATAGGGACACCTAGGTGGCTCAGGTCATGATCTCATGGTTTGCGGTTTGAGCCCCACATTGAGTTCACTGCTGTCAGGGCAGGGACTGCCTCAGATCCTCTGTTCACTGTTCTCTCTGCTCCTTCCCTGCTTGTGCTCTCTCTCAAAAATAAATTAAACATTTATAAAAAAAAAAGAGGAAGAAGAAATGTTGACTACATATGAGGAACAGTAAGTAAGCTCCTGGAATTTCTACTAGTCCTTATGTTCATGGAATGTGCAAGTCTTTCTAAGACTTGCAAGACCAGACCTGGGGGTCTGATAGCCCAACGAATAAGGTATGTGCAGTATTCACTCTTTGCCTCCCTCCCTTATTCTTTTCTTTCTGTTGTAAGCATGTTTTGAAGCCTTACGATCTTCAAAGTTACATGCCATGTACAAAAAATAGAGCAACCTGACGGTAATGTCAAAGATCCTGTGAAAGAGTTGTTTTTAAAGTACTGTAGGGACATAGAGGAGGGATGTAGGGATGAAAACCTTCCCTAGCAGAAGGCACGCAGAGTGGCCACGACCCGCTCTGGAAAGCTACAACTGTAGCATGCCCCACTACACAACTCCTGGGGAAAACCCTTCTCTGTGCCGCCCACTGACCAAAAGTGACTAACCTTGACTATTTCACTACTTACTTGGGTGCTTTTGAAAGCTCACCCCAAATCAGCTGCATTCTCACCCTAACACAGGCCAGTGCCATAAAATTCCTCTGTCACTTCACTTCTCAAGACATGGCTGAGACCCTATTCTTAGCACCCTCTCCCTTACTTGGCAAGAATAGGCATGAACCCCGTTTGCTTGTTTGAACGGGTTTTCGTGGTTACCGTTGTGAGGACTATCACAATTTATTCTTTACAACAGTGTATTTTTCATTTTTAAAATATCTAAAACGTCTGTCTGGTCATTATTAATCATCTTCTGCTGCTCTTTCATTTTTGTGATTCTGTATTTTATTCCTTCAGACACTTGATATGGAATTTATCTATGTGTGATGATTTTAGTATCTAAAGTCCTTGGGTGTGAGCCTGAATATGCTGGTTTTGTTTCTGTTAACTCACATTCATGAGGACTTTTCCTTTGTGAATTTGATCTTTTGTTATGAGCCTGGATTTGTTTGATTTTCATGTCGGAGACTCCTGAGAGCCCACATTGGGGATGTTCCTCTAGTGACTTGCATTTGCTTCTTCCAGGATCCAGGGCAGTGTTGTGTCTTCAG